AGCACTTGGCCTTGTTGAACCTCATACAATTGGCCTTGGCCCATCGATCCAGTCTGTCCAGATCCCTCTGCAGAGCCTTCCTACCCTCAAGCAGATCGACACTCCCACCCAACTTGGTGTCATCCACAAACTTACTGAGGGAGCACTCATGGAGCTTGCTGTGGGTTGAGAATGTCTTTGTTAGTATAATTTTTTGTCATTATATGTCTTTATAGATATATTTGTACATAAATTTAGATGTATTATATTTAGCGTAGAAAAATATTGCACTACCAAGTGAAACAATCCTAACAGAAAAGCCTATAATGTAAGAAAATTGAGGGAAGAAAATGAGAAATTTATAAATAAAGTTTGGGAATACTTCTGATATGGAAAAATATCAGTCATTTCCACAAGAACAAGAAATTTTTGAAGCTGCATGGCAGTGTGCCAGGTTGTTATAGGTTGCTTTCTTGATGAGTATTTTCTTATATACTGAGATAATTGTGCAGTAGTGTTATGCTCAAAATCATGTTTATGGGCAAAGAGGAAACACACTTTATGTATAAAGCCAAGAATGTACTGTTTTTAACTTAATGATTCCTGTATTAGACTGTTATTAGTCCAGATGTAGTTATTACAGAAGAAAGCAAAAGAGAGAGAGAAAAATACTCTATACAGAAGAAGAATCACTATTAATAATACACTTAAAATTGCTATACACACACTTCCTATGTCCTGCCTGTTCTCCTAGTGTTGTGTTCACCCTTCCACCCTCACCAGCGTCGTCATAAAAAATCTTGCTTCCTTATGTCCAGTCTAAACCTCCCCTATTTCAGTTTAACACTTTTGCTCCTTGTCCTGTCACTGCAGGACCTGGTAAAAAGTCTCTCTATCTTTCCTATAGGCCCTGTTTAAGTAATGAAAGGTTGAAACAAGGTCTTCATGGAGCCTTCTCCAGGCTCAACAACCCCAGCTCTCTCGGTCTTTTTTGCATAAGGGAGGTGTTCCAGCCCTCGGATCATTTTTGTGGCCCTCCTCTGGACCCGCTCCAGCGGGTACATGTCTGTCTTGTGCTAGGATTCCCAGAGCTGGACACAGGACTCGCAGTGAGGTCTCACCAGAGCAGAGTAGAAGGGGAGAATCCCCTCCCTCGACCTGCTGGCCACACTGCTTTTGGTGCAGCCCAAGATACAGTTGGCCTTCTGGGCTGCGAGTGCACATCGATGGCTCATATCTAATTGTTCATCTACCAATATCCCTGTGGCAAGCCTCAGTCCTGAGGTCTTGCAGGTTCAGGACAAAGCTGATGGCTATACAGTAGTTAAACAAGAATTGAGATGGTTTTTAATTTAAGAAGCTGTTTTACAGAAAACGATGTTTAAACTGTATTAGCTTGGGCTCAGGTTTCAGATGTACATTTATACAGTAATTGAAAGTATGATTTGTTTGGTTTGTTAGTATGGAATTCCCTGATACTCTTGTCTAAATATGAGGGGAGAAAAGAAATTCCTTCTTTCCTTTCACTCCGGTTCCCCAACTTCCGAGTGCTGCAGTGATAATGATACGTGATAGTAAATTTTAAATCATCAAAAAATACGTGTTTTAAGTACTTGTTGTCATAGATGTGTTCTGAAAGACTAAAATCTACTCATTTGTGGAGTCTTCTAGTGCCAAGGAAGGATAGGATAGAAAGGAAGGATAGCAGAAATACCTGCCAAAAGAAGTTACTGAACCTGGGTTTACCAACAGATTTGTTGGTCGTTAATCTTAGTAGCTTTTGCCCTTCTACCCTTGATCCCTTCTGACCACTTTACATTAGCATGAAAAATACAGTCAGAAACTGAACCTCTGCCCATCCGTCTTGTTCTGCAGTCCTCCTTTCCTCATTCATGTTCTGAAGAGTTCATTTATATTCACTGTTTCACCTTCACACAGTGAATTTCTTCCAGGACCCGCTCCCATGAGGTTTATGCCCTCTGCTGTCCACTAAAACTTCATTCTCTCAACTCCCGTATTACTTCTTCCGAGCAAAGGTCAAGGTTACTGCTCAATTCTCCTTTATCCATGATGTATTGTCATAGCACTGCGCATATCTATTTCAAGAATTGTCTGGTTTGATACATTTGTTACTTTAAAATGAAATGCTTGATACTTGTTTAAATAAATTCTCATGTTTCTGAAGCATTAGGTACTCATACATTTTCTCTCGCACATATAACTCGTAGAATAATTTTTATTTCATCTCTAAGTAATTTTTCCAAAATATTGCTCTACTAAGTGTATCTTACATCATATTTCAGATACTGTTTATGATCTCTTAAGAAAACAGTTTCGGGGTGAACAGCTGCATAAAACAATTAGTGCTGCTTATCTGTCATTAGAGGTGTTTCTGCCATCATTCCACATATATCATACTTTGGTGGAGTTTGGGAATGCCTAACAGCGTGGGATAATGTATCCTCACTTGTGAGCACAAAGGTTTCATCTCTTCAGAGGTTTCTTCTGCCAGCTAATTTTATTTTCAGTTTTGTAATTTTTATGGGCTGATCAGACAGCAGTATGGACTTCAGCGTCTTGCAGAGGACTCTCATCCTGGTTTCTCCTATGTAGTGCTCAACTTCTTATTCTCCACAATTTCATTTTTTATTATTTTTGTTTTGCATTCAGCTCTTGAATACTCATTGTTACTCAACCGTAGTGTTCCAACACTTGGTAGATCAGATATTACTTTTTTCAAGTTTGCTCATTCTAATCACCTGCTTTTGCTTTTTTGCACTTTTCCCTTTCTTATGGTTTTTGCAGCATTTTTTAACAAGCTTTGACAGTTAGGAATACATATTTTATATTGTTTGAAATCTGACCTGTCTTATGCATAAAATATTAATATTTGTTCTCAATGCTTGTAAAAAATGACCCTGGCTAAAACAAGAATGGAAAATGGTATCTAATATTAATGGTATCTAATTATTTGAAAAATGAGTCTGCAAATAATAGTTAATACAATATAGTAACGGACAGGATTTCAAGATGTTGATCATAATATTTTGTTTGTCTGTGTGTCACATTTTGCAGGTCTGCTCATACGCTTCAGCCTTCTTCAGGGGATGAAATCTCCACTAATGTGTCCGTCCAGCTTTACAATGGAGAGACCCAACAGCTTATCATTAAGTTAGAAAATATTGGAACAGAACCACTCGAGAAACTTGAGGTCACAGCGAAAACAGTCAACACTAAGGGTATGTAATGCTGATTTATATTTAGAAATAATAACAAACAATTTTTCTCTGATAATAGGGGAACTAGGTGTGGTATACATATTTTAGGTCAGTTTAGAATGAATATCATAACTGCTGTTAAGGAACTGGAGTCATTCAGTTTGATTTTAATGTAGGAATATAGGAATGAAAGAGAATGTAAGAAAATGTAGAAAGAAAATGGAAGAAAGTGTAGAACCATCTGTGTGTCAAAGCATGACCTGCTTTTTGGAAATCTAGATTTCATTTTAAGGTTACCTAGGGGGAAAAAAACCCTGAGGCAGTAACTAGTAAAAAGCAAGAATCTTGGGTCTAAATTATTTTCTCCTTATGTCTAAATAAACTGATTAGTTAAATAAATTATCATTAGCAGTAATGTTGTCCCACTTGAAGAAGTGGAAGTAAATAAGCCTACCTCTCTATCAGTCAGTGAGCAATAAGAAAAAAAAATGGGATAAAAGACTTTAAAAAGCAGGCAATAATTAAAATAAGCTATTGCGAGATACAAGAACAATTGAAAGTGGGGAAGAAATACAGTACATTTTCTGCTTCCACTTACTTCTCCTAAAATACTTCATACATATTAGTACTAAAAAGTAGTCTAATAGGCGAATCTTGCTTTTTTTCTGTGATGTGTTTTATCATTTAAATGCCTATAAATATCTTAAGGGTGGATGTCAGGAGAATGGGGCCAGACTCTTTTCAGTGGTGCCCAGCGACAGGACACAGGGCAATGGGCACAAACTGAAGCAGAGGAAGTTCCATCTGAACATGAGGAAGAACTTCTTCCCTCTGAGGGTGACGGAGCACTGGAACAGGCTGCCCAGGGAAGCTGCGGAGTCTCCTTCTCTGGAGATATTCAAGACCTGCCTGGACAAGGTCCTGTGCAGCCTGCTGTAGGTGACCCTGCTTTGGCAGGGGGGTTGGACTAGATGACCCACAGGGGTCCCTTCCAACCCCTAACATTTGTGATTCTGTGATTTTTGGTTTGTCCTCTGAGGCATTGTTAGGAACATGATGGTAACAGAAGAAATGCAGATGACAGGCAAGATAATCTTTACTTACAATACAAATACCTTACTTTATTGCAGATTTTATTCTGTCAGTACCAGAATATTAAAATGCAATGTGATACCTGGTGATTTTTGTTCATTTTGGTATTCAGGCTCGTGATTGTTTTTTCAACAGAGCATTCTCTTCTCTGCAACCTGAGAGAATAGGAGTTGCCAGTCGTCTAAGAATAGATTTTCCGTCTGAGACTTGTTACCAAGAAAGATTTTAGAAGCTGAAACTTATGATGACTTACTGTTCATAGTAATTCCAACGTGCTCCTACTGTGCTAGGTGCTGTATGTAGGTAACGGAAACACCAAATACAGCACACATATTAAATGGTGAAGTTTATGTAATGAAATCTGTTAAACAGTGGAATATACGGGCCTCTGAATCAGATGCTAATCAGACTCGTAGTACATAACATTACACAATTAGTTGGTTCAGAATTTCGAAAAAGTGTCTTTCGTCAACTTTAAAACCATCATAAACACCCAGTTACAACTTTTGTTAAAAAGAGTGGGGGGAAAAGGAGAAAAGTTGATACACTCAGCTATGAGTTCATTAAAACTTTAACTTTTACTTCATCCTTCATTTTCTTTCTCTGTAGAAAATTTTTATCATGAACTTTCTTTGTGTATTTGACAGTCTCTTAGATGTTATTAAGCATGATAATAATTGTCTTTATCAGAAAAAGAAAAATTTCTGATGAGTAACTTATACATATGCATACTCAAAAAAGCGCAAAACTTCAGAAAAACAGAAATGAGAGTGAGTTTTGAGAGGTACAGAACAGTATTTTTTCTGAGAGTGTGAGAACCATGCAATCAGAGTCAGAATTGTAGAAGTCTGCGTGGGAAGGGACCTCTGGAAATCATCTTATCCAATCTTCTTTTGAAAGCAGACCTTTAGATTAGGTTGTCTAGGATCCTGTCAAGCAGAGTCTTCAGTTTCTTGCATTGTCTCACAGAAGTGAAATATACTCCTGTGTTGGAACTGTATGCTTGAGTTGAACTGTATTATTGGAGAAAAATACATAAGTAAGTATGACTTTTTACAGGACTGTGTGCTGTACGACATAAAGCACTGTAAAACGCTATCCGTGTGTGGTCAGTTGACTTTGGCTGGACACCAGGTGCCCACCAAGCCGCTCTATCCTTCCCCTCCTCAGCAGGACAAGGAGGGTAAAAAATAAGACGGAAAAAACCCCTTTTGGGTCAAGATAAAGGAAGTTTAATAAAGCAAAAGCTGCACGCGGAAGCAAAGGAAAACAGAACATTTCTTCTCTCTGTCCCATCAGTAGGTGATGTCCAGGCACTTCCGGGGAAGCAGGGCTTCAGTATGCGTAGCGGTTGCTCCGGAACACAGACATCGTCGTGATGAATGCCCCCACTCCTCTTTTCTCTTAGCTTTCATTGCTGAGCAGATGCCATATGGTATGGAATAGCCCTTTGGGCAGTTTGGGTAAGCTGTCCTGACCATGTCCCCTCCCAAGATCCTGCCCACCCGCAGCCTACTGGGTGGAGGGGGGAATGTTGGAGAAACAGCCTTAACGCTGTGTGAGCACTGCTCAGCAGTAGCCAAAACACCAGTGTGTTATCAACACCTTTCTAGCTACCGATACAAAGCACAGCGCTATGAGGGTTGCTGTGGGGGAAAGTAACTCCATCTTACCCAGACTCAGTACACCATGGCAAAAGAACTAATGGTCCACATCAATTACGTTGATTCCAATTATTCCAATGTGATTGCATGTAGGTCTTGGAAAGGAGGGACCCTTGCCTTTTTTAATGGACTCCCTTCCATTTTAGTTACTGTAAATTGATACAAATGCATCAGGATGGACTCGCGGTACAGTGCGACATGGAACACGGGGTTCTGGCAATCAGGGAACTCAAGATTAGTAACGTCCTGAGCTCAGTTTGGCCAGTGATACTGCATGCCTGGAAATAATGTGGATACAACATTAAACCATCTCTAATAGCAACAGAAACTCTTAACTTGATATTATACATCAAACTGAGAGTATATGCAGACACTTATGAACTACCCATAGTGCCTTAAGAAGCTGTCTCTTTAATGTTCTTTACTAGTCCTCAGCTGAAATGTGCCTGTGATTTAAACTGCTCAAGGTCTCCTTGAAAGCTGTTAGGCATCTTCATCTGCCATGACCACAGCTTGCCTGTCAACTTGGGAGCCCATGAGAAGTTGTCCAATTTCAGCCAAATACAAAGAGCTTTCAATCATCTTTGGTTTCACCTGATTTCCTTTGGTTCTTTCAGTCTTGGCACTTGCTCGTAAATCTTTTGCAGCTGCTGCATGCATGCCAGTCTGACTTCCATTTCCTTACCTTCTGTTTCTGGGGCCGCAACTTTGAGGACAAAGGTGAATGCTGTAAATGGCAACCATTCTCTTTTTTTGTTGTTGTTGGTTGAAATTACTGGATGGGATTAGCTGTTGCAGTGCAATGACCTGACCTCCCTCCTTTATGTGAGCTGTAGCTGGCCACTTTTCTTGAGGAAGCCCACTTCTCTGGCATTGTTTTCCATGGTGTCTTCTTAATGAGAAACTCTGGAGATCAGCCTTTCAAACTTGCCTTCCCTTACTTCCTCTCTTGTGTTTCTTTCAGGTGCAGCTCTTTAGCTTTTCCACTCTGGCCCTCAGATAAATGAGCAGAAATTGCAGCTCACCCTGTGAAGTTCATAAAGGACATCACGAGGTTTTCGAGTCCTTTAGCAGCCATGTTATGAAACAGCTCCTGAGGCAAATCAGCAAAAGAGACTTGTCATGCTGCCACATTAAACATGTCTGTCATGATTGCACCACTCTGTCTACCAGGCTGTGGTATCTGTAGGTTGGACATCACACATACACTGTCAAGGTCAACTATGTGTCACCTCAGATTGTCTGTCACCAGGTCAGACAGTCTAATACTTTTTTTAGAATGATGACATGTGCAAAGGGGGATGTCTTTCCATCCTTTGTGTCCAGCCAGCTCTCGCCAGAGGCTTGTGGTTTCTCAACTGGGGAGTACGCTCTAAAAGCTTTGATAACCCAACTATTTGATCCACTCAGGAGCAAATGTGACACTGATGTTTTCAGACTTCAAGCACTGAGAAGAGCGTGCCAGGCCTTCTTACCAGCCTGGCAGGTTGTTAGGCCCTAGCCGTGAGCATCAGCTGCACACGCTGAATGAACTTGGATGATGAAGCAAAACCTCACTGATCTTTCTTAAAAGTGATTGACCTCTGGAATTTAAGCGTAGAGAAATACATTCATCTGTCTAGCTGTATTCTTCCCGTGGTCTTTGAACACATCTGCTTGTGGTCTCAGCTGTTTAGCTGTGCCACCACGAATGGAAAATTGATTCTGAGAGCCAGGTAACCCATTTTAAGAACTGTGACTATCCTGGAATAGTTCTATTTACCTTTTTTTGCCAAACAAAACTGTAGTGTCTTTCAAATTGGAGCTGGGTTATGTTCCACAGAGAGCTGTGAATCCAGTAAGTCCAGATGTCCTTGTGGAGGCAGGACAGTGAGGAGTGTTGGTAATCCAGCCCCAGTCTAGCTGTCATGGTTGTACTATCTGGGTTTCTCAGCTCAAATCTCATCTCTCTGCCCACGCTGGCTGACAGAGATCTTCATGATTTTGTATGATTCTTGCTAACTCTTTTTTTCTGCTCACAGGATAAATGTCAAATGGTTCATGGTTTTAGACCAGGATTTTCTCCTTTTAGGGATATTTGCTAATCGCCTAGAGAAAACTCTGCCAGATACATTTACATTGTAAAGAACACAGCAAGTTCTGCAAATTCATTTCTATCTACCAGGTCCAAATTCAAAATATTCTGGATTGTCTCCTCCATTCTAAAGAGGCAGGTTTTCCCCGATCTCAAAGGAAAATTAGTAATAATATTGGTACATTGCCTACGAGCTGATGACCTGTTAGTGCTTTTAACCCCATAATTGTAGTCTGCACGTGCCACAGCACCTTATTTAAAAAAAGGTGGTGGCTACTCTGCAGTGCTAAGTATGCAGCTTTCATTTTTACTAGAATTTCATGCACTTGGAGAAGTTAAGATGTATGAATACCGATGCTACGCATTTAGAGCTGATAACTATTTTGAGGTCCTGTGAACTGATCGCTGTTTTCAAGTCCTGTGTATTCTGCTAGGAATATGTACTTCATCTGGTGAGGCATCAGGAATCAGACGCGCAGGTCACTGTAGCAGTCTGAAGAGCTCTGTTGCCTTGAAGCACATCAGATTTTATCTTCAGGTGTCTGATCATACTTGCATTCAGTGTACTTTTGTGCGTGGTGAATTCAGAGACGTGGAGTACTCTGATCTCATCCTTTTGTACTAGCTGGAAACTGCTCTTGCATTTGTATTTCCGTTCAACTGCTCCCCTTGTGAAGCAGTGGTGGTTTTGGTTATGTTCTGCCCAGACCTCGCCCTTCTGCTGTACTCTGCTAAGTTTTTCTTTCTACTGTGTTTCCTTTTGTCCTTACCTTTAAACGCTGTCCCACACTGTTACAAGTGTTTTAATTAAATTGCCAGTAGTGTTGTTAGCATCTCACTGGTCCTCCAGGCTGAACGGCATTTTTTTAATCCTCTTTTTTTTTTTTTTTTTTTTTTTTAGTCTCTGTTTGTCAGGAATCCACAACTGTGTTCGGAATGCTGTTCCATGTATGTACACTTTCTCTGATGGTTTAAGTTAAGTTTGCAGTTTTGAGGCTGTCTGCAGATCAGTGGTTAATAGAGGATTCAGTCACGTCTGGTCCCATTCTCTCACAGAAAGACAAAGGCACAAGAATTTAAGAAATGTCCTGCTAGGGCTGATGGTCCATCTAGCTCAGTAGTCACAGGACATGAGGAGATGCTGCTTAGGGAGGGCACGCAAGTCTTGCCACTGTTGTGTTTCTGTTGTGCTTGCTTAGCATCTTTAGTTGCTGTATATACATAGTCCTTTTCAGTAGCCCATTGTGGATTTACCCATGAATTTGTCTAATCCCTTCCTGAAGCTGCAGGTACTGCTTACCTCTGCAGCCTCCTTCAGCCACAGATTCCAGAAGGGGGGCCTATAGCAAACATGAGGACAATCTTTTTAGCAAGGCTTGTTGCAATAGGACAAGGAGCAATGGCTTTAAACTGATAGAGGGTAGATTTAGACTGGATATGAGGAAGAAATGTTTAACAATGAGAGTGGTGAAACACTGGCACAGGTGGCCCAGAGAAGTGGTAGATGCCTGCTCCCTGGAAACATTCAAGGCCAGGTTGGATGGGGCTCTGAGCAACCTGGTCTAGTTGAAGATCTCCCTGCTCACTGCAGGGGGGTTGGGCTAGATGACCTCTGCAGGTCCCTTCCAACCCAAACTGTATTATAATTCTGTGATGACAGGTGTTAGAGAGTATCTGCAAGGGATATTCTCACTTGGAAGGTCTTTTCACCTTCTCCTACTTAATCAAAATACGTTTGGGAAACAATTTGTTTATTAAACTGAAGATACACTCAAGTGCTTGGGCTATGTTATTCTTTGCTTACACTGAAGAAAAAACATCCCTTTAGCATACTATGTTTTTACTTATCAAGAAAGAGGGACAAAGATTGCTGTGCTTGTTAAACTACTTTTTGTGAAAATAGAAGAAAATCAGAATGCTGATATGGTTACAGCTAAATCATCAGGTGAGCTCGAGGTGACTTAACAGAAATAATTATTAGCAGGATTTTTTATTTTTATCTCATCTTTTTTCTTATAGAGAAGTCTATAATATTGATCTGATGTGGAAGGACACATGACAACAATTGATATTCTGTCAGAAAAATATTTCTAAGGCAAAGCAGTTACTGTTTAGGTAGAAGTTAATGGAAAAATATTCACTCCCCCTCCCCCCACCTGCTCCCCAGTTGCAGTTGTTTCTTTGCAAATTAACAAGTTTTAGACTGGAATTCAAAATACCTTTTATGAAAGATCCTAGATTGTAGTTGTTGAGGCAGTCTTCCCACCCCGTTCTCTCACACATGGACCTTAGATGATGGTTTTGGAAAGGCTCTGAAATGACAAGACACTAACTTGTTCTTAGATACAGTAGGCTGGTGTGAAGTAAAGATGAACTGTATGACTTTCAGGAGTCCCCATGTTATGCAAAGTAGTGCTTAAATGGTGTTTAAATGAACCTTTAGAAGAATTCCTCAGTGTGCTTTGGAGATCGTATGCATTGCTATAAAGATTAATAAATATCTTTTTAGGATTCTCCCAGTCAAACCATCATGTTTATTTTATGTATTAATAGACTTTTCTGCAGTGTTTAGTATTGTATGGTCTTGCAAATATTGATGAATTTATAAATGTGGTGGGTTGACCCCGGCCAGAACCGAAGCCCCCACCCAGTTGCTCGCTCACTGTCTCCATCCCCTCCCCATCGGGGTGGGGAAGAGAATCCATAGGGCAAAAGTGAGAAAACTCACAGGTATCACAGAATCACAGAATGGTAGGGGTTGGAAGGGACCTCTGTGGGTCATCTAGTCCAACCCCCCTGCCGAAGCAGGGGCACCTA